CCTACACAATTTATAATTTATAGAAAACACCCTAAAAGTTTCAAAAATTATAGACAAATACTCAAATTTTTAATTTTATAAAAAACAGCCTGAGAATTTCAAACACATTAGTAAATTAAAATATAGGAATTATAAATAGTCTATAAGCAATTTACAATCTATAGAAAAGGCCTATAAATTTAAAAATTACAAAAAACCCTAATATTCATAATTTTCAAAAAAAACCCATGAGAATTCTATCCTATAGACACTAAAATGAATATACAAAATTACTAGCAACCCCTAGAAAACAAAAAAATTATAAAAAATATCATACTCCCTTTAAAAATATAGGTTTAGGAAAAACTTTCCATGGTCAATATTACCCATAATTTTTTTAAAAAAAACATAACTAATTAAAAATCTATTAGATTTGAAATTTACAAAAAAAAACAAACTTAAAGTTTAGTACATTCCAAATTACCCCTCCAAATTTTAAAAATTTTCAATGATTTTTTGTAGCTCCTTGATTTCAATATAATTTTTAATAGTTTTGTGTATTTGTTAATTATAAAAGTTTAGGGTGTTTGTTTTTACAATTTTAAAAACTTGAGGGTATTTCTTCAGTAGTTTTTTAAATTTTCATTGTGTTTTTAGTGTAATGCGTAGATACATCAATTAATAATGATATTGAAGAGTAAGTCGTTCTTAAGATATATTAGGCTATAGTTAAGTGTGTACATTACTATTCCTAGGCAGTATAGTTTATACATGCAAAAAATTTCAAATAATTTATATAGTGGTTAAAAGGTTTTGACTTTAATGTACTATTTTTTTATAAATTATATTTAATGTGAACCTACCATATAATTTTAACTGTGGTCATTATAATTTTAATGCGTTTAATCGATTGACTATATAGGTATATAGACCATAGATTGTTTTACTTTCTCATATGAACTAATATTTGGCAGTTAATAATTTAAATTATTAATTTTAAATTTTATTTATTTATTTATCTATAGGATAATACAATTTCAATTCCTATTTTTTGCTTGAGATTTTTTTATAATTACGCGTATCAAATTAATAACTAAAATAATTATTATTTATGCTTAAATTAGGATGATTATAGTTGGTCACTTACTATAAATTTTTTATGAAGATATATACCTTACTTTCTATAGTTCTCTATACTGCCCATGTATATTTTATGAATTACTTGTTAATTTAACGTATTAAATTACTTTTCCTTCGTAGAAATTTCTTCTTTGACTTTTGGATTATGTAATCATTATGTCACCATTCTAGCATAGAAATAACCTCATTCTAAATGGCTTCAAACCAATGTTTAAATTGAACTAAAGTATATATTATTGCTACTATGTATATATATTTTTTAAGAAAATCATGTCGATACTTTTTAAACAGAAAAGAATATTCTAACATCTGATATTATAAAAATAAAATATAGACAATTGAGTGACTAGCAAAAGAGGACTTACATCAGAAAAGTGTGAATAATAAGATAAATAGGAAAGGAAATGGGATTGTCAATAGTATTACCAGTAGTAAACTACAATGTAAAGTTAACCTATTTTGTGGAACCCAACTACTGGCTATAAGCATCAAGGTTTCCATATATATACTTTATAATTTATTAAAAAGGGTATATAATCTTATATAATAAAATTAATTTAATAATGAATAGTAATATCATTATAAATGAGCAATTACAAAGATGTTAGGGACTAACATGTATGTATTTAAGATTTCAAGACGAATATCTTAATAACCTATTTATATAAGCACGCCCACTTTGTCACCTATTCTGTTCACTTTTCTCCTCGCTCATTCTCCACCAATTTTGCTGTCACGCTCAAAGAGAAATAGAATTCATGTCGGTGAGGTCTTCTCTCCCTCTCTCCCTCTATCTCTCGATCTCATATTTTTAAAAAAAATAGTTTCTTTAATTCTTTTTTAATAATTTCTTGGATCCATTTCATGCTTCATTCTATGAAGTGCCTTGTTAGATTTAATTTAAATATACTTTTATTTCAATTATTATTTTTTTCCTATTTATGGGTCAATTAATCACCAGAATGTTTAGGTTTTTTCACTCATTTTATATTTTGAATTAACAGTTAATTTTAGGAGAATTTTTAAAAAGATTACTTTTTAAAAATATTAGCAAAATTAACTATTTTACATAATAATTAATAAAATTGACCTCTTTTTTGCCACACCATCAAGACTAGCAACAAAGAGGTTGATTTTGTATAAAAATTATCTTTAAATTAGACGGGACTAATAGTCCTTTGCAATCAGAGAATATTAATTATAAAAGTAATTAAAATCAGAAAATATACGAGACAACCACTCTTGCATATTTTGCAGTCAGAACCAGAAAATACATGAGACTACTGTATATGTCCTATATACAATATAATTGCTCTAGGTAAGTGAGTTATAATAGCATTTTCCATTCACATTGTTTGGAGTAAGATTTGATAGGGACCTAGCATCAAAGAGATTTTTTTATATTTAAAGTATATGGTGAAATATATTATAATCTTCATGCTCTAATTTCGTAAGAAAATAATTCTTCATATTTTTAGTTTTACTTCTATGGTATGAAGAATAAGCTATAAAATTAAATAAAAATATTAGATAATGTAAATATGAGTAAAATAACAACTAAAAGTTAATATGAATTTGAGTCAAACTACAATTAAAAGTTTAATGGACATATTGCAAGTAAATTCATATACAAAATTCGTTTATGAATTGAATGGTCACCAATCTTTTAAAGACCTCAAGATACTAATTGTAAAACCCCGCATTTTTTGTTATGAAGATATGTGAATTATTGGTGATAAATAATCCTATTGTGGTAAATGATTTGAGGTCACAGATATACTTGATAACAAGTTATTAGAGATGTATGATTGTATTAATATAGGGATTTGTGCATTGGTTTTGGCAAATTAGCAAAACATGGTATAAATTAGCAAAACATGGTATAAATTAGCAAAACATGGTATAAATTTTAGAACTAACTTGTTATAAAATAGAACTAACTTGGTATAAATGAGATATAACATGGTATAAATTAGGTTTATAACGTGATTTAAATTAGAACTAACATAAATTAGATATAACGTAGTATAAATTAGATATAACGTGTAATAAAATAGAACTAACAAGCCATCACACGCTACAGAATAGAACTAACACTGTGCAGATTAGAACTAACACTCTACAGAATAGAACTAACACTGTGCAGATTAGAACTAACACTCTACAGAATAGAACTAACACTGTGCAGATTAGAACTAACACTCTACAGAATAGAACTAACACTGTTCAGATTAGAACTAACACTCTACAGAATAGAACTAACGTGCTATAAAATAGAACTAAAATGGTATAAATTAGAACTAACGTGGTATAAATTAGAACTAATGTGGTATAAATTAGAACTAGCGTGGTATAAAATAGAACTAACTTGGTATAAATTAGAACTAACGTGTTATAAAATAGAATTAACGTGGTATAAATTAGAATTAACGTGGTATAAATTAGAACTAACGTGGTTAAAATTAGAGCTAACTTGGTATAAAATAGAACTAACTTGGTATAAATTAGAACTAATGTGGTTTAAATTAGAACTAACTTGTTATAAAATAGAACTAACTTGATATAAATTAGAACTAACTTGGTATAAATTAGAACTGACGTGGTATAAAATAGAACTAACTTGGTATAAAATAGAACTAACGTGGTATAAATTAGAACCAACTTGGTATAAATTAGAACTAACATGATATAAAATAGATAAATTAGAACTAACTTGTTATAAATTAGAACTAACGTGGTATAAATTAGAACTAACGTGGTATAAAATAGAACTAACGTGGTATTTCAGTGATAAGGGGAAAAAAGAGAAATATTATGGATGATGTTGGCAGCTTCTTACAACAGAAGGCAAAATTCGTAAGCCAGCTTGATTTAAACTAGCAAAACTATGGCAAACATTAAAGAACATATTTCAACAGTAAAAGAAACTTTGCTTCCCAGAGGGGACTGAAATAAACTTATAATTCTTTTCAACATAATATATTAGCACTCAGAATGATTCATTGATGACTTAGCTTTCATTTCAAAGCTCGTGAAAGGAACCAAAACCAACAAACATAGAACTAATAAATCTGCATATATCAAATTTGAAATCTGCTCGTGATGTAAATGCATTGATGACATTTAGTTCTAATACACTGAAATTGGAGCAGGTGGTCTCTGCAGACCATCATGATCGGAGCGACGGCGATCACGGGCTAGGTGGGTGGCGAGCTCCAGCTGCAAGCTCGGGTGGAGGAGAGGAGGAGAGGGAAACGCTGAACTTAAGGCGGAGAGTGGCAGCGACGAACTCCGGCGTAGTCGAGGGTGAGACGGGGAGCGACGGCGAGCTATGGCGAGGAGGGCGGGCGGAGGAGAGGAGGGGAGGCGGCGGCGAACTCGAGGGGAGGCTTGGGGCCCTGGGCGGAGGCGACGACGGCGAGGAGGGCGAGGGCGAGGGTGACAGACTTCAGAAAGTCCTTGGTTTTAGAGAGAGAGAGAGAGAGAGAGAGAGAGAGAGAGAGATGAGAGAGAGAGGCATGATTCTTGAATAGGAAGGGTGCGCAGTAAACGAGTACAGTCCCATCAAAGGAGTAAGTTCGTAACTTCCCATGGGTTTTTTTTTTAAAAGTGATACTTTAGGGCCTCGTCACAAATACTGTAGGTATTTGGGGCTTATCCACATGGGGGAAAATACAAGGGACTGGTCACATGAAGTTTTTGCTTTTGGAGTCTTGACACATTTTTCCCAAAAAAAATTTCACATGAAATTAAAAGAAATATTTTGCAACCGAGCTAAGTAAGAAAATAGAAAAAAAATGGATAATGATATTGAACCACGTAGAAGGCACGTGCATACAATCTAGTAAACCCTAAACCCCAAAAGCTCAATCGAGTGAAATCAATCCTCTTCATTTGTCAATCAGAAAAGATCTCTCCTTAGCCTCTCTCTTCCAATGGCTTCTCGTTGCATCAGATCCATGACCCGCACTTCTCTCTCCTCCATCAAATCTCAAATCTCCAGATCCCAGGCCACCGCCGCTGCCTCTCGATCGTCTTTTTTCGCCAAGGGACCCGCTTCCGCTTCCCCTTCTCCACGTCGCCGCTTCACTTCGATTTCTAGGTCAACAATTTTAACCATTTTCTTCTTTTCCCCCCCTTTTAGTTTGATCTGCGAGTTTTAACCTGAGTTGGGCGTCTCTTTGTTTGTAGGTCGCCAGTGGAGTTGGGATCTACCGCCGGAGGTTCAATGTACCCGCTGCACAGCGCGGTG